GTCGCGCCCGTACCGGACTGAGACCGGCCACGGGATCGCAACCCTCGGTGTTGCTCCCGCATCTTGCTCAGCCAGTGAGCGCCGGTCTGTATGTGGGATCCGAACCCTCGGCGGGAGCGCTGTCGCGCTTCCCAAGCGGCGCACTGTAGCAGTGCGCCACCGGGCCGGCAATTTTGGTTTACCTGTAATCTGTATGAAATATGGTAAATCCAATATCCTGGGATTAGAAAGAAACCTTTAACTTAGAAGTTTCAGCCCTGTGCAAACCATCCCAAGTATTATCATGGGGTAAGCAATTCCTCCCAACAGGACAAGGCTGTGGGAGTTTCATTGCTGTAACTCTGGGAATGACTGGGGAGCAGAGTCTGCAGACAGACAGTGGGGCCAGGTGGTTAAGGGAGTTTGGACCTAGCCAAGAGGGGAAGAGGTGTTCCCATGCAAGGGCTTTGGTTCCAGAAAGCCCATGTCCCTGAAATTCTTTTTTTTTTTTTGGTGGCTAGCAAGGATGAGCTGGGATTGCAACCTCAGACATAACAACCACTTCCCAGATCAAAATCTTCCAATAGTTTCTCATGGTATTTAAAAATCCAAATTTCTAATCATAGGGATCTGAACCTACGACCTTGGTGTTATAAGGTTGCACTCTAACCAACTCAGCTCACCTGCCAGCTCGTGTCCCTGGAATTCTGAGCAGATACATGAAGAACTAGTAAGAACCAGTGAGAAAGCAATCACCTATGATCCTGGGCTTTGAAAAATTACTGTGATTATCTCATGTACAAATGCTTTCCCATGGTTTACTCATTTATAATGAGACTAAACGCCTGGTGGGAGAGTGCAGACTCCTGGTGAGGAAGGACGATGAAGAGGAGCTGGAACAGCTAAGGGGACCAGGAACTAAATTCATCATTGTTACCACACAAAAGAATTTATAAATGTCTTCTTGCACACCATGAGCACAAAGGGGTGCTCACTGCAGAAAGGCAGCAGGATAACTGTTTTACTGAACCTGACTGGGCAGGTCAGAAGCAAGGCATGGTTCAAGATACCAGAGGGCAGGGGAGTGGTAAGGGATTAGGAAGAAAAGAAGACACAGAAGCTGAAGATTCATCAGGGGGTGCAATCTTGTGGAGAGAGCAGCTCCGAGTTCTGCGGCTCAGGGAGAAACGTGCTTAGATAAAATGCCTTTGCAGGAAGCTGTCCTATCTCTGCACGATGACAGCCCCCTGGTCCTATGAAGATAAACCAGACTAGCCCTCCTGGATTCCGTAGCCAAGTCCAAACCCTGTTGAACATGGGGTGGGAAGGGCGAGGCAGCGAGTGGGAGGAGTGTATCACAGACAGGGAGTCCTGGCTGTGGGCCCTGAGAGTTACTCAACCTCTCTGAGTGGGTGTCTTCAGCAGCAGTCTGGGGGCCAACAACCCCACCTGTCTATTTCAGTTGTTGAGTATATTAGAACTCTTTTAAAGTGCCCAGCACAAACCCTTATGAAGATGAAGATGGATTTTACCACGGGCAGGATCCAGGTCCATCTGAAGTGTAGACCAGAAGGAAAAGGGGCAGATGGGCACTTGTGAGGGGCCAGCCTGGTGCTCAGGGACAGTTCAACTGGAGACAAGCCTGGCTCACCCTTGCAGAGGATGCCTTGCTGCTGACCCTGCCTCTGGGCACTGGGGGACAGGAACAGCAGGGGAGGAAACCACCATCGCTGCATTTTAGGCCTCGTGCACACTCCGTGTTGCTTTGGTCCAGTCACTACAATGATCTGAGTGGTTTGGCAGTCAGACATCGGGGGCATCATGAGGCTGCGGGGAAAGAGGGCTGATTGTGGGCCTGGGCGGGAGAAGCCCAGCCACTGTGCCCACATCCCAACAGGCCACAGTCAGAGCTCCTCCTTGNAGGGCTGATTGTGGGCCTGGGCGGGAGAAGCCCAGCCACTGTGCCCACATCCCAACAGGCCACAGTCAGAGCTCCTCCTTGTTGCTGTCAAGGGACTGGACCAGAGATCCTGGAGCCAGGTGGTGACCTACTGGCTCATGGTCACCTGGCTGCTGGCTGCTGTCCTTCAGGGGCCTGTCTGCAGTGGCATAGTCCCGCAGGAGCCTGCTCTCCACGGCTGCATTTCAGGCCTCGTGCACACTCCGTGTTGCTTTGGTCCAGTCACTACAATGATCTGAGTGGTTTGGCAGTCAGACATCGGGGGCATCATGAGGCTGCGGGGAAAGAGGGCTGATTGTGGGCCTGGGCGGGAGAAGCCCAGCCACTGTGCCCACATCCCAACAGGCCACAGTCAGAGCTCCTCCTTGCTGCTGTCAAGGGACTGGACCAGAGATCCTGGAGCCAGGTGGTGACCTACTGGCTCATGATCACCTGGCTGCTGGCTGCTGTCCTTCAGGGGCCTGTCTGCAGTGGCATAGTCCCGCAGGAGCCTGCTCTCCACACCGTGCTGCCGGAGGGTCTCGGTACTCACAAGCCCCTGCATTCTCATGTACCCCTGCTGGCAAAAGGGTGGCAGCTTCTGGTGTGTTAGGGCGAACAGAAAACAGGACTCTACATCAAAGCAAGAAAAGAAGACTGAGTCAGGCTCACAGGTGTGGGCAGAGGTACAGGAAGAGGAGGTGCTGATGCTAGGGGTGTGGGCTCACCAGGGGCCTGGCCCAGTGCCCTCCATCCCTTGAAACTGGGACCTGACCTTTCTGGGCATCTCATGTCCAACCTGAGTAGGTCATGGATCTGTGACCCTCCCTGACTCTCCAGAAACAGGAGGCTGCCTTGATATTTTGGAAGAACAAGGCTACAAAATGAAAAAAAAACACAGAAATGACTCAGCTCCCAGAGATCAGGGCCTAGCAGGAGGCTCTGCATGGGCCAGACTGGGGTGGGCCCCTTCGTGAGCAGACCCCGAGCCTTCTCTTCTGGAAGCTGGCCCGAGTGTGGCTGGGAACCAGACTCAGTGACTGTCAGACCCACTGTGAGCTCAGAGCTGCCTGCAAAGATTTATTCTCTCTACGGTGTTTGCATTGCAAGTACTGTGTGCAAAGTTCTGTTCTAAAGACTGTGGGGATAGAAAGATAAAACAGGTAAACCCTGGGCCGGCCCGGTGGCGCACTGGATAAGTGCGCCGCTTGGGAAGCGCGGCGGCGCTCCCGCCCGAGGGTTCGGATCCCACATACAGACCGGTTCCCGCTCACTGGCTGAGCGAGGCGCGGGAGCAACACCGAGGGTTGCGATCCCGTTGCCGGTCCCCGGTCCGGTACGGGGGCAACACTGAGGGTTGCGATCCGTTGCCGGACACGGAAAAAAGACAAAAGACAAAAAAACAAAACAAAACAGGTAAACCCTTATCGCATCACAGCAGGAAGCTGGTGCATACTTCATGTTCGCCCAATCACAAAGTGACCGTGGATGCTTATTATTTAGAAATGTGGAGAAACAACCAAAAGAAGCTATGAGAAGAGAGAGGTCATTAGAAGAACCACAAGAGCTAGATGTAGTGCCTTCTGGGGAATGAGAACACAGGTAGGGAAGGTAGGAAAAAGTCTTCTAGCCAAGTACTTATATGATTTTTGAAAAATCAGAAGAGATGAAACAGATAAGGGCTCCATCTTCTGAGGGACTGGGAGACAGGATGGGAAGACGGGGTGTCAGAAATGGTTGGAGTCCTTCTGTAACCTTGGACAAGACTTTTCACATCCTAGAGCCCCTTTATCTCAAGTAAAAAGTGGGTACGTTACGAAGGATGTGGTGAGCCTCATGTGGGTGACCAGGCTGAAAGGTGCTACCCAAATATTACCTCCTATACACACACAGCATGGAGGCCCCCTGGCAGGACAGGTTGTGGCCCTCGTCTGAGCAGGGAAGAGAGCTGGTGCCAGGGAGGACAGCAGAAGGGCAGCAAGGTGGCCATTTGGCAAGCACCCCCTTCTGATGACATCACCCCTTCTGCAGGGTCCAGGGACACAGAGCCCAGCAGAATGCGAGGCCAGAACTAGCTGCTGCACATCAGCTAAGGGGGTGGAGGGAAGCCCACCACTCTGCCAGGTGGCCTTCTGTTGGGAGGAATCTCGGTTCAAGGCAGTGACACATAGTGACCTGTACTGTCGAGCAGTATCTGGGATACAGGAGGTTAAAGGGCTTGGGATGATGCATTGGTGGGACGTGTAACTCAGGGTGGGAATACACTCCCTAATATGCACTGGCTTTTTTGGGTACTCTCGAATCCTCAAGGAACAGGCAAGCATTTTAGAGCTGAGGACTCTGGACCTCTACCATGTAATTTCATGTATAAGTGTATGATCAAGATCAATAGTTTGCAGACTGCTAGTATTTCCAAGTTGTTTAGCTCTGGCTGTATGAATTAACTCTGTTTGAGCATCTGCACTTATTTAGATTATTAAAACTACTACTGTCTCAAGTCCATAATATAGTCCATATTATATACAGCCATATTTCAAAGCAGATTCAGGATGAAACAAGGACACACTCTCTGATCTGTAGGCCAGAGTTGGTCTCTAACCTGACTTGCTGTGAATAGTGCCTGATATATGACAGGTGTTTAACAGATGAGTTCTCAAGTACAACAACAAGGAATGGATATTCTTGGATATTCTAAGCATTTAGGGGTTTAAAAGACAAAAATGTGGCTTATTTCTATCAATTGCCCCTCTACATCATTGGACTTCTCTCCCCAAGTCCCTCTTGGGGTTTGCTGTCAGGTCTGTCTTCCAGTCCACCAATTCTCTCTTCATCCCTGTCTAATGGACTGCTAAATGTTTACACTGAATTTCTAACTTCCAATTTATTATTTTATTTCCAGAAGTTCTATTTGAATCTTTCTCAAAACTGCCCAGTCAATTTTGGTAGTTTCTACCCCTTCATTATATTTTCAATAATCTTTTCAATTTCTCTGAATATATTAAACATACCTTATACTCTGTATCTGACCATTACAACACCTGCAGTCTTTGTAGGTTTGATCCTATAGTTTGTTGTTTCTGCTGACACCCCCTCATGGTGTTTTGTGTCCTTAAGTGCTAAGTGAGTCTTGACTGGGAGTTCATGTTTCTTGGAACTTTATCTGTGGGAGTTCTTTGAGGCCTAGTTTTAAAGTGTATTTCTTTTCTTTTTTTTTTTTTTTTTTTTTTTTTTTTTTTTTTTTTTTTGTCCTTTTTTTTTGTGACCAGCTGCACCGCGCTCAGCCAGTGAGCACATCACACCGGCCATCCCTATACAGGATCTGAACCCGCGGCGAGAGCGCTGCTGCACTCCCAGCGCCGCACTCTCCCGAGTGCACCACGGGCTCGGCCCTAAAGCATATTTCTTAAGAGAAGATGTGCATCTGTTTCTGTGACTTCTGCACCACAATGGTAGTGTGAAGTTGGGTGAGTGGGGCCTAATGGCTGGAAATTCTCAGGGGACTTTTTTTTCACATTTGACCCAAGGCCAAAATGTGTGCATCTCCCCAACTCCCCCTTGGGAGTGTTTTTTGCCTTCTAGTTTACCTACTGAGATCCAAGCTGTATTTGAGGGTCTCTAACTAGACCTCCCACCTGCTCTAGCTTTGTCTTCCCATCCCAAGGCTGGTTACTTAAAACCTAGGGTGTAGGATATCAGTGGATAATGATCAGCAGATATCTCAGGTCCAGCAGTGGTTTCTGCTTTTCATTGTATCTGGTTTCTGGGGAGTTCCCTCATTTTCCTGCCAGTTCTTACATTATTTTTACATGTGCTGTACTGGTAGGAGGTTTCTGTGAACATATGGTCCACCACATTGTAGGGAACAGGAATCTGAGGTTTGGATATCTAGATACAGGTCCTGAAACTCCACAGACATGGATCTATCTGGCCTCTTTTCAACCTCTAGCTCAGTCCCTTTGTCCTTCTGGGAACTTAAGGTACCTGCATAGAAGCTTCGCAAATCGGTGTCCAAACAGTTCTCCAGGAAGCGCCTCAGAGGTAGAATGTGCCCAACTGGGGCAGTCCAGTCTGTCAAGAAGTCTTCCACGATATGGTGGATGGCTGCAGGCCGTGGCAGGGGCCAGTGTGCAGGGCGGAACCTCACCTCCTGTTCTGTGGGGAGGGGAAAGGGGCCACATTAGGGCCAAGAGGCTGGGCTTCCCGTCCTGGAACTGACACAGTGCAGATCCTAAACTTCTCCCTCATTCCCTCATGCTTGGCTTCCCTGATACACATCTGCACTGGGCTGTGGTCAGCTTGCTCCAAGCCATCTTCAAATATTTGGAAGCCTGACATGAGAAAGAGGAAGTAGACTTGTCCCTTGTGGTTTCAGAGGGTAGTACTGAGACTAATAACTTGAAGTTGGTGTTTTTCTGACTCACGTGGGCTGACTCTACTGCAGCTGCTTTAAAACTGGGCTTTCTGTGAGAAGACTCAAGGGCCTGTACTGAAGGGGATCTTTGAGGTCATCTAGTCTAGCTTCCACCTGGTGTGGACTCCCTTCTGTGGTGTTCCAGGCAGATGGCCATTAAGCCATGACTTGACCATCCTTATACTGGGGAGTTTGACTCTAGGAGGTGATCAATTGCACTGCTGGACAGCTATTCATGGCTTCTCATATTGAACACAGACCTGCATTCCAGTCACTTCTACCTGTTGATACTACCCCTGCCCTTGGGACCAACCCCTATTTGGACTACCCTCCTGTACTTGACAGCCCTTCAAGTTCTAAAGCAGGAGATGTGTCCCCTAGGTTATTCATTTATTGGAAGCTCTGTGCCAGCACTGTGCTGGACTCTGTGTATCTTATCAGGTTTATCTTCACGCAATCCTATAAGGAAGGTACATTGTTATCCCCACTTTACAGATGAGGAAGTTGAGGCTGAGAGGTCACAGAGCGATGAAAGGATGGAGCTGGGAATTTCATCCAGCTTTTCTATGCTGTGTTAAGCAGCTCCAGCTCCTTGCCCTGTTCTTTCTCATATTCGGACTCCAGATCCCCCTTCTCCCCACCATGGTTGGCCTCTTTTGTAGACACTGCAGCATGACAGTGTCTTCCTTACTATGTGGTGCATGGAGGAGATCATGGCATTCCATGTGCAGCCTATGCAGGTCGTGAAACAATGTTTATCATTCTCAGACCTTCTGCCCTTGTCTGGTCTCTAAGCAGAGTCCCCCAGTGGTCTCCCTTCTGTCAGCTGAAGGTGTTGTGTAAGGGCTTATTGGTGACAACTCTATAAAGAGCAGGGTCTGAGGAGTGCCACCTCCAGAGAACCCATGTTCAGGGGGAGAGCAGAGAGCCAGCTCACCGGTGGGGAGGTGTCTGTAGTAGTAGATGACAGGATGGAGGAAGTTAGACTGCCAGGCATCTTCTGTGTGCCCCACAGACCGGTCATAAAAGAAGACGTCCTTGTCAGGTCCAGAGAAATTTTTGCCATACTCCATAGTGATGATGAACAGCCCATGCCTTGCCTTCCTTCCTGTGAGGGTCTCCAGCTGGGCCAGCATCTGTATGGGGAACTCCTCCAGGTACTCAAATGCTGTGGCATTCCTGGAGAGAATGGCAACGCAGGGGGAAGACCCTCAGTGCTGTGGCAGAGGGGAGGGGCATGTGCCTCTCTCCCTCCGAGAAGCGTCAATCAAGCAGTGCACAGACTTGGATCGGCTCCACACCTCACTTGAATATTACTGGTACAGCTGAGCTCTTGCATGTGGGATAGATTCCAGAAAACTCTGTGACCTGAAATGGATGTATGGGAAAAGAGTGTTCCGGGCTGAGAGGACAGCAGTGGAAAAGCCTTAAGGAGGGAGTGAATGCCTTGCTGCATTCAAGGGACAGGAAGGCTGGTGAGGCTGGAGTGGTGTGAATGAGGGCAGAGGGCAGGAGAGGGGTCAGGGCACTTTGGGTGAGAAGGGAAGGCACTGGCCACTGAGAGCACTGAGCAGAGATGAGGTCAGTGTGACACAGGTTTTAAAAGGCCCACTCTGGCTGCTGTGTCGAGAGCAGACCCTGGGCCAGAAGTGGGAGCCGTCGTCTTGGTGTAGGTGAGAGAGGCTGGGGATCTGGACCTAGGTGGTAGTGGTAGAGCCAGAGAGAGCTCGTCAGGTTCTAGACATAATTTGAGGGTAGAGGTGACAGGATTCGCCCTTAGTTTGAATGAAGGGTGTCATACAAGAGAGGGGAGTCAAGGATAATGCGAGGTTTTGGCAGTGAGTGCTGCTGAATTTCTCGTGTGTCCCTGAGCTTGGTGTGCAGTGGCACTCTCTGGCTTTGGACCAGGCCATCCCTGACTGAAGTTCCTTCCCCTGCTATTCACCTGCCACCTGTCCTCTCAGTGCCCTCCCCAGTCCTTCCCTGCAGGCCCTTCTCCCCTGTACTCTGTACTGTTTCCTTCTCAGGAACTGTCCATCCTCTGTGATCTGCCGCTGATTACTAGGTTGATAAGGATCATGACAAATGTGGTCCTAGCCTGAGGGAAATAATTTTTAAAAATCTTTTGGGGCTGGCTGGTTAGCTCAGTTAGAGCAGGGTCTTATAACACCAAAGTCAAGGGTTTGGATCTCTGTACTGGCCAGCTGCCACCACCCCCCATCTCCTCCCCCACAAAAAAAGGCAAACCAAAACAAACAAAGGCATAGAAATGTTTAATTTTGTTGTTTGGCAGCTGGCCAGTACAGGGATCAAACACTGGACCTGGTGTTATCTGCATCATGCTCTACCCAACTGAGCTAACCAGCCAGAGCTCTGAAGGAACTAGATCCACAATGCTGGTACACTCCTAGTGGCCTTGTTTACTGCTCATCTACTTACTGCCTAATGCTTTCCACAAGTTACCTTTGCTCCTTCTTTCAATGCTGCAGAGTAGGCATTATTATCCCCATTTTGTAGACGAGGAGAAAAGGTAGGCCCAGAGAGGCTAACTAACTTGCCCAAGTCTCACAGCAAGAAAGTGGTAAGCCCGGGATTCACACCCAGGACTGTCTATCTGCAGAGCTTGTGGTATTGATTTCACTGATTTATCCCCCCAAATAGACTGTTTCCCTGCTGCGGGCTTCATCTTAGGGAGGAACGACTGGGCTACTCCACACCTGGAATAGGAAGAGAAGTGCTATGGCAGGGTGTGCGTGTGAGGCAGAGCGGAGGGGACAGCAGGGTGGGGATGGCTACTCACTCCTTCAACAGGATGACATCAGCCAGCACGCCAAACATCTGGTAAAGGCCAGAAGCCTCGTTCACACGCCGGATGATGGAGTTGGTCAGCTGTGTGATGGGGTGCATGGTGGAGGGCCAGGCAAGGCCATGGTGGCGGTGCTCCAGGAGCCGGTGAACAGCACGCACTGCAATGACCAGGGGGAGGAAGGGCCCACTGCACCTGAGATCTTATCTCTGATCACCAGGGGGACATATGGGCCTTGACTTCTGTGCTCTTCCAAAATTAATCCACAAAACACCCAAATCCAATGAAGGCAAGGACACAAACAGATGATTCCCATGAAAGGAAACTCACTGGGCCCATAATCATGGGAAAAGATGTTCAGGAATCCAACAGCTAGAGAAGTATGCCTGGACAAAGGGAACAATGTACACCAAGTAAGATTCTGAGAGAGCCAGGCACCTTCTGACAAGCAGGGTTGGTGTGGAGAAGAGGCAAGGGGAGAGACAGGACCGGTGAGCTGGGGCTGGCTGTGCAAAGCCTAGTGCCAGGCCAAGGAGCTGGGACACTTCCCATGGAGATGGGAGCCACTGAAGAGCTGTGAGCAGAGGAAGGACAAGCTTTTTGTTTAAAGAAAGGTTGTTTTGATGGGTACCCTGGCTTCTGGCTGGAAAGCCAGAGAACAGTGGCAGGAAAACCAGTCAGGAGAGATGAAGTGGCCTCAACTCAGGTGAAGGTGAGGCCGGGAAGGACGGGAGAGTGATTTAGGAGGGGAACAGAAAAGGCTTCCAGCATGTCCTATCTTCCATGCTGTGGAGGTCTGTGCCTCCATCTTTATCTTCCGTTACTTTACTCTGCTCTACTGTCTTCTACTTGTTTCTCCTGGGATGGTTTCTCAGCTGAACAATGAGCAAGGTCCAGGCAGACCCTACTGTGTACATCTGCACTGTCCCTCTCCCTCCTAGGGTCCTCAGCTGCTCAGTGACCACATAGTTGGCTGCCTGTACACCCAGGATTGTTCCCCATTTGCCTGAAGCTTAGTGGTTAGGTGTGAGCTTTCTAGCTGGACAGGTGCGGATTCAAAATCCATCTCCGACATACACTGGCTGGATGACTCTGGACAGGATACTTAACTTCTCTGTGCCCCAGTTTCCTTATGTGAAAACGTGAGTTGAAATAACAGAGTCTGTCTCATGGGGCTGTTGTGAGGATCAGTATGTAAGCTGGAGAAAAAACAGGAGGCTGAAGGAAGGGAGATGGGGCAGTATCTGCCAGGACAGTGGATGTGGGGAGGGCAACCAGCCTGGGAATGGCATGAGGGTTTCTTTTTTTCTTTTCCTTTTTGTCTTTTTTACTGACCGGTAACGGGATCGCAACCCTCAGTGTCGCGCCCGTACCGGGGACCGGCAACGGGATTGCAACCCTCGGTGTTGCGCCCGCACCGCGCTCAGCCAGTGAGCGGGAACCGGTCTCCACATGGGATCAGAACCCTCGGCGGGAGCACCGCCGCGCTCCCAAGCGGGGCACTCTCCAGTGCGCCACCGGGCCGGCCCCGGCATGAGGGTTTCTTATTGGGGACACACAGCTGAACTGACAGACTCTTCTCATTCTCTGTGTATGTGTGCGTGTATATATTCAATTTGCAAATTGGCAAATAGTTCAGTTTACAGACGGCCAAAATCCTCTCCTCTCCCCAGTTTCCTTCCCTGACAACACACATGGGATATAAACTATATCGTCTAGAAATCAACAGCAAAACATGATTATCTTTCCCTGCCAAACTGGAAGGAGAGTGAAATGTAGAAGCTAGCATAAAGGCAATGCAAGTAAATATGGAAATGTCAGAATGCAGGATGCAGGACCTTCTGGTTCTTATGGAAGAATTAACTGGCCCATGTAATACCTGCATGCAGTAAAGCACTTGCCCAACGGCCTACGGAGCTACCCAGGGGCTGCTGTTGGCAGTGGTGGTGAGGCTGCTAGTGGGACACTTCAGTGTTACCCTCCTGTTTCCAAAGGCACGTGTGGATTCAGCAGGGTTGGGCAGCTAATTTGCAGGACTCCTTAAATGAGTTTTTTGTATGCCCAGCAACAGGAGCCAGAGACTGTCATTCTTGAGCAGTAGCTGGCAATGATGGCCAAGCCTGACACCATGGTGCCCACCCAAACCTGCACTCTGGAGGCCGAGGAGTGGCATCTCTCCCACAGAGAAACATGTCATGCAGGTTTTTCCATATTGTCTGGGTTTGTTATCCTCATCTTACTCTTTATACTAAAAAAAATTCCACTAAGTTAAAAGGAAAAGGAAGTAGAAAGGAAGAAATGATTGGAAAAGAACTACCAAAATTTTAGCTGGATATCTCTGAGGGGTGTGATCACAGCAGGTTTTGTTCTCTTCTTTGTGTTATTTTGTATTTTCCAGAATTGTGACAATGAGCATTACTTTTTGTGACTAAGTAGGGAAAGATGGAACTATATTTAGAGAAAACTTGCACATTGAATGTCTCTGGGCATTGAATGTCTTTTGGGCAGTAGAATAGCAGAAGGTAGTAGAGTAATAGGCATTACTCTCCTTATTCCCTGTGTTTTCCAGATTTCTGACGATCAGCTATAAGTTTACTATGATTTCATTCTTTCAGATGGACTCACCTAACTGAATACCAGGTATCTGAGTGAGTTTCAACAAACTCTGTGTCCTTTCCAGAGGTTAATGATAGGAAAGGAGCACCTAATATTTACAGAATCGCTTCTCTTTACAGAAAAGGCACTGGTTTGCTTCCTACAGAAGAAAAGACCCTTGTAGAAAGTATCTCCTGAGAAAGGGCCTGGGTCTTAATTCCTGTGATGGTGAGAAAATCACCAAAACTCTGAGCCTCAGTTGTTTCTTTAGAAAAATGAAGATTTCATACCCCCCTGAGCAGGGTCGTGTGTTCACCGTGCTTAGCCCACTGAAGACAGTTGATACGCGTGACTTCACCTGTCCCTTGCTTTGTTTCCCATCTATCCTTAAAATCTCACAGCACCAGTTTCTGGTAGGGGATTATACTTGTGCAATAAACGGAATTAAAAAAAAAAAAGATATTTTAGTATTTTATATGCAAATATTCTCAAGTTAGCAGAAAATTTATACTTTTGGTACTGAGAATTTTGAAAAAGAATCAATATAATCCAGTTGCAATTTTTATTGAAATGCGTTGGTACTCAAAATGTGTGTGTGTGTATGTGTGTGCGTGTGTGTGATGCTTCTTAGCTGCACAGTGCTCAGGTGTTACCTTATTTAGCTCTCACAACAGTGACATGAGAGCATAGTTTGCCTCATTTACATCTCTGACATTAGGGATGTCCAACAGGAACTTAGAGAGGTTAAAGCTTCACCTGTAAGACGACCCAGCTGGGGAGGAAACCAGGTTAGCATTCCTCAAGCTTGGCATTCTTGCCAATGTGTGGTGTTTAACCTGCACAGGGCTTAAGCACATAACTTGCCACCCCCAAATGTACCTACTTTTACACTTTATCTGATACTTTTCTAGCCCTATCCTCAGATCATGAAAACCCACTGTCCTCTACCCTAGATAGGGAATTTATGACAATCAACTATGAATAAGCAACGCTTTTACTGCTTCTGGAAATCAGGAGTGTGTTTATAGGCCCTGGAGATAATGATGGTGGTTCTGTGTGGGGACAGTGGCCCCCTCTCTCAGCCAGGCTCACCTGTGTATCGGAATCCATGGATGAAGCCGCCAGCAGATTTCCGGTAGTCCACCGAGTGGCTGGCGGTACCCAGGATAAAGAGACCCCGGCTGCCTTTGGACTCATAGCTAGCTCGGATCAGTGGGTACTTCTTGCCAAACGCACTCCCTGAGTTGAGTCTGAGGGACCTGTGAGTGGAAAGGGTCGTTAATAAAAGTAGCTGCCGAGTATGAAGCCCTTATCCCAGTCCTGGCACTGGTGGTGCTTCACATTCCTCACCACATTTAAACCCCACCATGGTCCTAGGAGGTGGGGACAATCACCTCCATCTAGTAGATGAAGTAACTGAGGCTTAGGGTAAGGACATGGCAGGTCAGGGACAGAGCCAGGATTCAAGCCTGACTCAGGGCTGGGCTCTGGACTAAGACTGGTTCCTGCCATCACCTGATGAGAAAGGACAGGCCCTCCAGCTTGTCCTCTTATGCTCTGGTCAGAAGGAAAGTGAGAGACTGGACCAAGCCTCACTGGTACTGGACAGCCATGCCTAAAGACTGGGCTCCATGAAGCTGTTCTTCAAAACAGTCATAAATAATTTTAGCAACTCACATTTTATTGAGCATATAGTATATGCTGAGCATTTGCTTATATTAAACCTCACAACAACCATAGAAAAAGAAACTATGAATCTCATTTTAGAGATGAAGAAACTGTGGCGCAGCTTGGTTAAGTAACTTCCCCAGAGCTCACAGATGTGGGAAGCAGAGAACCTCATGCCAACCCCAGAGCCTGTGCTCCGAGCCACTATGTCATGCTGCCTTTCAGCAACTCCCCTCTGCGTTCTGTCTGAACTCGCCTTTCCATCTTGCAGGTGCAGGTGCATGACGCAGATGAAGATCTGCTGCTGCTGCTCCAGGATGGAGGGCCACCTGGGTCCCACAGGGGACAGAGAGTCATGTCCTGGGAGGGAAACCAGGCAGCACCCACATCCTGCTTAGGGTGCTGTCCTGAAAGCCCTGTTGCTGGCCCACTGAATGGCCACTTTGTTCCCCCAGGGAGGGGTCAGAAGGGGTTTCCTAAGAGATCCCAGGTCCTCCCCCATTTGGACTCACATATTGAAAATGGAGAAGTCAAAGTTCCAGCCCAGGCAGCGGATGACCCGGTCATAGGCCACACGCATGGCAAAGTTGTCATTGTCGTCCTGAGGGAGGGTGATGGAGTCGGCGCTCTGGTTGGTGTTGGCTTCCTCCAGAAAGAACTTCAGGGTGACATGGAACTTGCCATTGTGGTCCTTCAGGATGGCCAGATCCGTGAGGTCAGACTCGAGCAGCCCATCCAGGGACTTGAGCTGGTAGGTGTCCAGCAGGCCATTGTTGATGGCTCTGAGGCCCCAACAGAAAGCAGATGGAGGGAAAGGAGACTCAGAAGAAAGGGTGGTTAGTACAGCTGGGGCCAGGAAAGGCATTAGGGGAGGTTCTTCCCACATTTTGGGCTTATAGAACAGAAAACACAAGCAGGAATAGAGCATACCTGAGGTCTCCAACATAGTGGGTGGCCCAGGAGAGCCGGACTCGGGACCGGCTCAGCATGTGGATGAAGTTTGTGACACCCAGGATGTTCTCTGCTGTCTCAAAGGCGGAGTTCCCACGGCCCAGGATCAGCACATTCTGACCCACAAAGTCCTCAGGGTCTACAGACACAGACTCATAACCCTCCACATGTTCGGAGCCAGGGAAATCAACCTGGTTGGGGACTGACAAACCAGTGGCTACAAGAAGGACACTGCAGGGGGGGGGACAGAAAAAAGAGGGCTCAGTCTCTTAACTATAAGACCACTAAGAGAAAATCAGTCTCTGGACCCACCTGCCTCACCCCAGCTGCTGGCTCCTAAAAGGAGAGGACATTCATTTGTTCATTCATTCACTCATTCACCTATTGACCTATCCCAGTGTACCCGAGAGACCTTAGCTACCCTTGCCTCTCACGGAGCTCACAGTCCAGTAGATACATTTTCAACACTGTACTGGGATTATACCAAACATTTACTCTCTGAATGAGGATGATGTTATAAAAAACTGAATAAATCACTTAACTTTGAACACAGCAGTCAGACAAGTATCGCCACCGGTGATGAAAATGAAACCTGAAGCTCTCCTTTCTGCTTTCTGACTTGCCTGGCAGACGCAGAATCTGCGGAGCAGGGATTCTGTACCAGGCCCTATACCAAGTGTGTTTGTGTATCATCATCTTTGCTTTTTTTTTTTTTTTAAAAGACGACCAGTAAGGGGATCATAAACCTTGACTTGGTGTTGTCAGCACCACGCTCAGCCAGTGAGCTAACCAGCCATCCCTACATGGGATCCGAACCTGTGGCCTTGGTGTTATCAGCACCACACTCTCCCAAGTGAGCCACGGGCCGGCCCATCATCTTTACTTTTGAGAGCAGCCCTGAGCTGGTGTTACATGGCCTGCTTTATAGGTGAGGACACACTGGCCCTGCAGGCCATGGCCTCAAGGCTCCTAAGAACAGCAGAGCCAAAACCTGACCACAGATTGGCCCAATCCCAAAGTCCTGCTCTCCGTGTCGCTGGGGATTACAATCCAGTGGTGGGCCGCTGGGGAGCTCAATCCTGCCGGCCTGCAGAATAATGGATTGACCACGGGGTAGTTTCAATAAACATAACTTGTGCAGCCCCTATCGATCCTTGTTTTCAGACGCTCATTCTTCTGCTATATCTGATTCCCTCCACTGTAGCACAGACGCCTAAGGTGCAAGTGGCACAACGCTTTGTTCCCAGGGCTGTGACAGGCAAGGAGCAAAGCTAGGCCTCCAGCAACAGGCATGAGAAGACGATCTCTGACTGAACACCTGCCTGGAGCCAGGTGCTGTGCTGATGACCAGGAAGAGAGAGGCAGTCTGGTGCAGCAGAAAGAACACAGCTTTGGAGTCGGGAAGATCTGAGCTCAAATTGCCAGTTACTCTACTTCTCTGAGTCTCAGCTCTTCATCTGTAAAATGGGGATCAGTGAACCTCCCCACAGATTCCTTGTGGAGATGAAACATGTTGGGGGTAGTCCACACAATATTAAGCTGTCTCCCAAGCCAAAGAAAGCTAAAACTGACTGCTTGTAGCACTGCCTGTGGGCCTTCCATCTTCTTCAGTTCTGAAATCCCACTGGGCCCATCTAACGCTCGCAGGACGTTTGGTCCAGCATTTCCCGGAAGGTATTTTGGGGACCCCTAGTTCCAGGAGATGGTCTACAAAAAGGCTTTTGTGGGCACACAAGCTGTGCTTCTGCTGAATACTTTACCCAACACTGGAACATCACAGTGAATATGAAGATGTTAAAGACTGTCAAATCCTGGAGAAAAGATGAGATTAGTATTTTACAGACATATTTGACCACGATGTTTTAAGGACACTCTTGGGAAACGATGGCTGAGCTGAACCTCTTTGCCCTGAATTTCAGTGGGAACAAGGAGTGTCAGGAATGTTCCTCTTCTCTCATTCCTCCCACACCTACCTGCCAACCGAGGGGTGCCGTTTGTCTGACAAAGGCCCCAGCTTCAGCGGGGGCTCTGGCACCCGGTTCCTTACCTGCACTGGTATGCCTGGCCCTTTTGGTCGGTCAGGGTGAAGTAATGGCCATTCCAGGCCTGCTGATCTTTGTCCAGTGTGACATGGGTGATGGCTGTGTCGTAGAGCACGTGCAGCCCCAGCCTGTCTGCGAAGTCGCCCAGGTAGCGCACCATGTCGCCCGCATCGGGGAAGTAGGCACGCGAGTAGTGTCTGAAGAGCAGCCGGGGGTCGTGGCTGAGCAGAGAGTTCCAGTCGTGGCGAAGGTTGAACTCGGCGTTGGCCTTGCCCGTGTGCCGCTTGTTGATGCTGATGAGCTTGCGGTGGCGGGGGTAACGCGTGAAGAAGCTGCCCGGCCCGGGGGCTCTTTCGAACACCGCGTAGTCCCTCCCGGCCCGCTGCAGGAAGTAGGCCATCTGCAGGCCGGCGGGCCCGGCGCCCAGGACGCAGTAGTCCCGGTGAGGGCGCCCGGAGAGAGCCGGGTGCAGGGCGATGGTCAGCAGCAGCCCCGGGGGGCCCCACAGCGGCGCCGCGGCAGAGAGGCCCATCCTGCGGCAGACCAGAGAGGTGACACCTCGCACCTCAGATGGCCCCGGGAGGTGAGGCACAGGCCCAGAGCCCGGAAAGAGGCAGGGGCTTCCCGAGCTCGCACAGCAGCTGGGGCAGAGCCGGGCCCCTCACCCGAGGACCTCGGGGCTCACTTGCCACGACTCCATCTTTTCAAGCTGGGATCTGGGGCTCCCCGCAGGGGCCCTGAACCCCTCCATCTCATCTCCTTCAGCGTCTCCTTTCCCAGGGGCGCCCGCTCCCTTCTCATTGCCACTCATTGCCATGGTAGCCTCCACCCTAGGGAAGGAGAGGGTGTCGTCCCCCACAGTGTCCCCGTAATTTGAGGGGTGCCCCACACCCCTCTGGGGTCCTCCCCAGCTAGACCTTGCAGACACTCACTTCTCTTTGGCCAAGCCCCCCGCCCTGGGGCCGGAGCCGGCGGGAGGTGTGGCCTGCAGGGCCCCGCCCTCCTGCCAGGTGCCGCGCGCTCCAGCCGCCTGGGCCACGTGACAGGGATGCCCCGGCACACCTGGCGCCCTCTTGCGGGCGCGGATGCCCGCGCGTGCCCGCTGCCCAGGCACGCAGCTCCCGCCTCCCCGCCGCCGG